CGTTGGTGTTGATTTTGTCGAAGATATTATCGTCGTTTCTGAAAGTTGCTGCAAACCAGTTGAGGCAGCGCTCACAAACACCTCCCCAGATGTGCTTATTGCCCCCTTATCACACAGATCGCTCCCTTCCTCGTAAATCGCATAGCAATAGCCCATCAAGGAGTCCGCGAGATGCCAATCAAGGAGATCATCCAGCTGTGGATCAGGCCCCTCTTCAGGCTCCCAAAGGACATCAATCATCCTATGCCGCTTATCCTCCAACCATGCGGTCCTTGAAGTCTCCCCCCCTACAACTTCAGACCAATCACGGACTGTTGAGGACACAACGGTCACCATCTCCCTCAGCCGACGCTTCCCCTCCTTCAACTTGTAGATCCAATTTGCCACCGCTTGTTGTAGATTTGCAGTCAAAGTCATTTTCATCCCCCTACCGTACCTTTCATCCGATAGAGCGCCATTCGCAAGGACGCCATCTGCACGCTGACTACAGGATTTACTCGTCCTTCCCTTATCGTTGTCCATTCCGCCCTCATCAAACTTCCTCCAGACACGAAGTTTGACCTAAATTGTCCACAACGATGGCGTCAACGTCGTCAGTCCCCCTCGTGGCCACCGAGACGTTGGGTGACAAGACCGCCGGACCCGCCGGCAGGTTCGCTCCTCGCGCGCTCGCGACGTCTCTCGCGGCGCTCTCCTACTCCCACTATCCTACCTCAATGTCTACCACTTAGGATAGTCACCCTCCAGCCTTGGGGGTGACCTGACCGAACCATGGTTGTCAGTACCAGGGCTAAGATGAGTCCCACACACCCCACTCATCCCTGATCGAAGCATATTTGTGCGAGCCTTGTTGCCCAGCCTGAGGTACTTCAGGTGCTAGGTACAGATGTTTCACTACAAGTCCCATAGATGGACCTATTTTGTGTTCCTATCGTTTTGTACACGGCTGTTGTTGTTGTTGTTTGTCGTTAGGTTGTTCGCTGTGCACAATGTTGTCATTACTACTTGTTTGTTAATAGTGAACCGAACATAGGATGCAGACAACCCAACCAGTCATGTAGCTGTCTCTTATACACATCTAGATGTGTATAAGAGACAGAGGTACAGATGTTTCACTACAAGTCCCATAGATGGACCTATTTTGTGTTCCTATCGTTTTGTACACGGCTGTTGTTGTTGTTGTTTGTCGTTAGGTTGTTCGCTGTGCACAATGTTGTCATTACTACTTGTTTGTTAATAGTGAACCGAACATAGGATGCAGACAACCCAACCAGTCATGTAGAGAGCCCCACTGACACAAGAGCCCTACCAGCACCAGCCATAGACTGAACTACGTAACTAAGTCTCACTCTCATCAACTGTTCCTCGTTCCATGGGCGGTCTGTAGGGTCCTACTAGTTCAGACAGACTTCGATCGTGGATTGTACTAAGTCTTACTCTCATCAACCATTCCTGTTCCACAGGCGAGTTGTCCTAAGGAGATCCCTCATCCTAACCCCTTTCGTGCCTAGTGGATGATCCCCCCAGATCTCCAGCTAGCAACGGGTCCCCCTACTCTAATCTTGCCCCAAGCAACCTACCAACACCGACCACATTCTGTACTAAGTCTCACTCTCGTCAACCGTTCCTGAGTCTATGGGTGGTGTGTAGGTCGCTTGGTCCTGCCTCCCACAAGGTAAGCGAGTTTGAACACATGACCTTATCCATGCAATCTTCTATTGAACCTATTGAGCTACTATGCAAACTGAACTATGTGTACGCAATATCGGACTGGAAGGCAAATGAACAATCATCCTCAAGTATGCAAGCCTGCAAAGAAACACTAGAACCCAGAGCATCAGGCAAACATCCCATTGTGACGCCCAAGCCCAGCGGCCCAACCCCACGCCCAGCGCGACTTCCTGTTTCGGAGTGTTAGTGGGCCTGGAAGTGCGAAGAGGGGTGTGCCAAGGATTTTAGGAAAATGGGGGCGGGTGGAGTCCCTGGTCAAAAATGGAATCTTCGGCGTCAAGTTTCAGGGGTTGGGAGTGCAAGTGTCTCGTTTTAGCTCAGAATCGGGGTGATCGCCGATCTCGTGGCCTCGGCCACGGACGTATCTGATGTACACGCGGAACGCTATGAGTATCTCTCTGAGAACGCATGTACCGTCGTCGGCCAATGCGCGTCTCAGAGTCTCATGAAAACGGTCGTAGTCGAAAACTGTGTTCCCGAAGCTCTGCTTCGGAGTGGGTTCATCGGATGAACCCTGCTTCGCGATACTCGTTGTATTGCTGGCACTTTGGGCACGGTGTGCGGGGCCAGTAACGAGCTATGGAGTCCCACGGAACAACCGTTAGGTGATGATACAGGAGAAGGATATAATAGGGAGGAAAACGAGTCGTAATAGCGCCGAAGCCTGGGGTTAGATAATATTGTCTATTGCGGCTGTCAGGATAGTCCGGAATCTGAGAATCCTAGTTTATGGCCCACTGGAAATCGCCCCCTCATAGTGGATCGTTCTAAGTCTGACAGGGATAGTCAGGATTCCGGGAGTTTCGTCGTCGCCTGAGCTGTTCCCTCTCCCAATACGTCCGATACTCTGAGTTCCTTAGGCTCTTGTGGTCGGTGACCCAGAATGGAGTTTCCACCACCATATCCTACTCAATGGACTGTAATTACATTCATTTCCTGACGAAGCGATATCGCAGTTGGGCTTATGAAGACGCGCGTGTATATTGCAGACTCCGCTGCCGGACTTGCTGTCATACACGGGCGCTTGCGTAGGCAGACTGCTCGGATCCTATCTTGTCACGTGGATAAGTCGGTGGTAGTCGCTTCCGTCTGTACGTCGGTCTATCCCGTATGCATGCAATTATCCTTCTCATGCCACCATCATCATTCCAAGTGAGATTCAATCATTACATACGTGTCCATACCATCATGTAGCAAAGAAGTGATTTGTCCAGCATTAAGGACCAATACATCAGATCATTCTTGTAATCATGCATGAACTAAGTGCAAGTGGTCAGGCAAGACATGTGCACCGGGAGTATCCGGCCCGATCCGGGGGAACTGAAACCTCGCGGATCGCTGTGCACGCAGCGCAGATGGCTACTAGAAAGTGACAAAATTTGAATTAAGCTAATGCTACTCTCTCTCTCTCTCTCTCTCTCTCTCTCTCTCTCTCTCTCTCTCTCTCTCTCTCTCTCTCTCTCTCTCTCTCTCTCTCGTGCGGGCAGTCCGTCGCCCCGCACCTCCAAACCATACAGAGTCGTCACCCCGCTTGGCCCGAGCATGCAAGTCAGGCTCGCCCGTGTGCCACAATCCTTCGCGGCCACGCGTCAGCCCTGCATACCCAGCACCAGCTCGTCGGGTCGCCCGACTCTCTACTCACCGTCTTTCTGCTCATTAGTCGATCCTCTCGACCACGCGAACTCCCAAGTAGATTAGAGAGCAAATTAATCGCGCTTGCAGAATTTATAGCTTGTGCATCCGCGCCCAATAACAGGGATTGCCAAAGAGGAATAGGAGAAAGGAAGGAGGCAGTGCCTACGGCTGCATTGCTGGGCCACGCCGTGGGGGAGGTAGCCTCACTCCACACTTCGATCCAGTCATGCACCGATCTTGCCAATGAGATGGACAAGGGAGAGCGTACGCAGCAACGAGGGAAAAAATATCAAGAAAGGGGAGATTACATCTGCGTAGGGAAAGAAAGAGCAAGAAGAGATGACAGTTGAGATTGGAATTTAGGGGTGGCAGGAACAAAGCGCAGGCCCAGGCGCAACAAAGCGCGCGTAAGCAGGACGCGATGTGCAGTTACAGGCAGAAATTACGAGGCACCAAATTTCCTGATCTAATTAAGGTCCTAATTGCAAAAAGAAATTCCGGGATCCAATGCGGGTTCATCACAATTCAAAAATTTCGAAGGAATTCCCCGCGCGATTACCATGCCAAAAAGACGGACTTCTGTCGAAAACAAAAGAAAACAAAGAAAAAGGACATAATAGACATTGTTCCCCTTCGCTCACTAAGGCGCGGGCCAACTTCCCCGAAGTTCCTAACCACCGTCTTCTGTCGAGGGACCAAGAAGAAAACCAAGAACGAGGGACTGCCATGCAATTTATCCCCGAACCCCTCTATGTACCCCCAATCCTGGTTGTGCAGAAGATGGCGCTTATCAGAAAAGAGCTCGTCACATATGTAACGCCCAAGAGGTTCCATCCTGTGCAAGCTCCCGCTTGCACCCATACCTTTCCACAACAAGGAAGAAGAAAGAAGAGAGACTCACCGTTTCGCAGAGATCACACGTGTCGTTACCATAGGATAAGAGTGTGGAAATCATCCTGCTGACACGTCGTAATTCTCGCACCCGCTTTCAATGTCTCGAGGGAGGAGGGTAAGGAAGTCTAAATACAGAGGCGGGGGGTGGAGGATGTTCACTCGGGAGTGCGGACAAGAAGTTTGTCATCCCCGCTATCATCCCGAGAAGCTAAAGGTACTTGATGGTGCAGTGTATGTGCGGGAAGCGATGACTGCCATAGGGGAAAGAAGCAAGGTAGTCAGGGTAGAGAGTCGAAAAGGTGCGAAACAAGGCTGCGCGGAATTGCTCGTGATCTGCGCACACGGGAATAGTTCCCGTGATCGTGCAATAGACTTCGATTACGTTGTAATCCCTCTACGCGACGCTGAAAAGAAGGACGTGAAGGCAGAAAGATGGGGAGACACACTGGGTAGCGGGGTGTAGGTATACTACCACAGCGAGGCGAGGAGCGTAGGATTGGTAGAAGAGAGAGGATGGGAAGGGATAAAGGGGGAATGAGAGCGGGGTGTCGATCTGCGGGAGTATGAGGTAATCAAGGGGACGGAGGGATAATCACCGGGAACGTAGCCCGATGCCCCGCATCGCCACGTGCTCGAACTGGGGGACGGGGGGAAGGGGAGGGGGAGCAACTCCGTTGTCTCCGTGTCGGCGCGCTCGAAGTCTCGACAACAAGGTGCTCATCTTCCTCTGTCGGTGGCTCCGGATCTCGATTCGGGTCGTCCGGATTTGGCAGATCTGTTCCCACCGACTGCTCCAATGGCCGCTTTCCCTATGCTATCTCTGCCCTCCGCCGCTCTGTTTCCTCAGGGTCTTCTCTTTGCATCTCCGCTTGTCCCGCCTCTTCTCCCTCACTTGCTCCCTCCGCTTCTTCTTCTTCTTCTTCTTCGCTTATCGCCCCCGACTCATGCTCACTATGCTCGCTATAGTATTCATCCTCCTCAGGGGTATCTTCCGATTTGTCTTCCTCCTCCTCGTCTTCTTCCTCTTCCGACGTCGTCTCGCCCCGATAAAAAAAGAGAATATCGATTATCTCTGCGGGGTTCAGGTTATCACCGTGTGACGGGTAATTACGGTTGTCCCAATTGCCCCCCAAGCACGCCGACCACTGCAGGTACGACATCAAGCTGCGCGAAAGAATATGCGGCGCCGGGCTCTCGTCGCAGTGCGAGATAATGTCGATTGGTAGATCATGCAGCAACTGCATCAGGAGGATCAAAAGCTCTCCTACAATTAGTTGTCGATGTCCCGCCTCAACCGATCCGAAGAGGAATCCCAACATATCTCCCTCTACGTCGTCCTCCAAGCTTGAATGATGAGCAACTCCACGTCTTCGCTCACGGCGTTGTGTTCGTTGTCCCGGGTCTACTCCAGTTCGATCTCGACTAAGCACAGAGAAAGCGTTGCGTAGGTTTGCCACCACCCCTTCCACTATACGGGCTTGATGAGAGAAACTGTCAATGGCCGCACGAAGAAAGAGAGGTGGGGATGGAGCACCGACTGCCAGAAGACAAGGAAGACAAAGGGGAGGCTGAAGGTAGAGAATCTGTGATGATTCATTGGGGACGAGAGAAAGCGACGAGCACATGGAGAGATGATACGAGATTTTGTCGGAGAGCACGGATGTCGTCTAGGTCAATACTATTAGTATTGACGACGTTTCCCCCCCTCCGTGCAAGCAGTTGACTCCAGGATCCCACCAACTCCTCTCCCCAATCTCGCAACGAGACAAGGATGGTCGGATGCGCCCTCGGATCCACGGTAGTGATGTCTCCGCTGAAGGAGACAACTGTCGAAATGTGGCTGGTTTCTCGCGCCGAGAGCCGCAGATAGGCTGATGCTTCGGCCAGCACTTGCGCCTTGCTGTTGGGTATCGCAAATCGGAATTCTGTTGCCGCATGCACGCTCGCCGTGCTGAAAAACTGAGCAGCTGATGACGTCCGGGCTGATACGTGGGTGATGAACTTGTCTGATCACCGAGATGTGCCCGCGTGGCGCTAACATCCGCTCACTGAGTATCTGCTCCGTGGAAAAACTCATGGCGAAGAGGAGGGAGAAGATGAGTGGAGAGAAGAAAAGGAATGGGGGATCGTCGCTTTCCCACTCGGACTCAAATATCGAAAGCGAACCAGTTGGAGAGGGAGGGGAGGAAGCTGGGAGATGGCGAAGATAGGACACGTGGCGGACTGTGGGTCTAGCAGATCGGCTACCTGACACTTCGGGAGCGAGGCGCACAGTGTTCACACCGTTAGGCCCGAGCTAGATCACTCGAAAGCACCCGAAGAATCGTGGCGCTAGTTTCCCTTGACGAGCACATTTCCTCACCTGCACCAAGTCCCCCAATTTATATTGGGGCCGGGGACCTGCATTCCCGTTTCGGGCCTCGTAACTACGAACCTGGCGGTCGTGGGCCGATTCGGTCATTCTTTGCCTTTTTCGGGCCAATCTCGGAAGAGCCCGTTCCATCGGTATCGAGACACAAGCTAGGCTGCTGGTTCGTAGTTGAAAAGGCGAAAGTCCCGTGAATTCATGTGGGGTCCCTCGGTATATGGCCAGGATATGATCTACGATATCAGGCTACTGCCTTGTGTCCCTAACTGCGATATTTTGTCGGAGTGTCGTTTTGATTACTCAGTTGGCGTTTTGTACGACTAGATTCCTCATTATCTCCCCTTGGAATTCAGCTTCATTGTCCATAAGGATTTCCTCGGTATCCTGATGCATTCCGAGGAACGGTTGACATAATACGCTATTTCCGTCGTCCGTCTTAACTGACATGGGTAGGCCTCGATCCACTTCGAAAAGTGGTCGACGAACACCAAGAGAATTGAATACTCACAAGCTATTTGACCCAGGGGGCACGACAATATTCGTCGTATCCATGCTAATCCTCTGAAATGGTCGTTGGACTATGGTGGGCACTATCGACCTAGGTGGCTGAATCGGCGCCTTGTCTGCCACACAGACGGGATAATTTTTAACAATAAATTTAACATCGTCCCTAATATTGAACCAATACCACTTATTTTTGTCGATGGTCGCCTCGAAAATTATGACAGCGAAATGTGTTGTCGTTTCCTCGTGGGCGGATTTCACTCAGTCATACCTCATGAACGGATGCGGTACCGACATCCAGATCCCGATCCCGTCGGTTTTCTTATTTTCTAACCGTCCTCCGTTCCACCTATAATCCCGTGCTCTTTCATTGGCCCGTCTCCGATCCTCCTTAGCGAACTCTCGGAGAGAATTCCCGACAACCGTTACGGTAGCTATTAAGGCAACATTTGTCCACACCTCTGCTCGTCTAAACAGTCGAATCTTCTCTAGACCTTCCGACGTTGCTTCCAGGAATCGAGCCTCCGTCAGAATCTTATCAATACGACACAGAGGGCAAAGCCACGACTTTTGGGGATTCCTATGCTGGATGCATGCCTCGTGGGCTCTCGCTACACACTTAACATAGTCTACCCATTCCACATATCCTTCGCCTTGTAGCTTCATAGACACCGAATATACTCGAGACATGGACTCATAGAGAAAACAAAAACGGTCGGGTAGGGAAGGCAGGGAGGAAGAGGAAGGAGAGAGTGGGCCCTCAGCGTTTCCTTCTCCTTGGGCCTCCATGAGGATACGTGTCATTTTTCGCTTGACGGGGGAACACCTTCACCTGGCCATATCCGGGCCCCTTGGGCGACTCCGGCTCCTTCCACGGGGGGATCTCCTCGCAACGCGGCACCTTGCCTGGCCTGTGCAGACGTGTTAGCCGTCTGCATTCCCGTGCCTCTCCGTCTTCCTATGGACGATGTCAAACTCGTACTCCTGCAGCCTTACTGCCCATCGCCAATCATACCTGTGTAGTTGGTGAGCTTCTTGAGTGCCTGCAGGGGCTTGTGATCCGTTACGAGGAGGAACTTTTGCCCATAGAGATACGGGTGGAAGTGTTGGACCAGACTACAGCATGGCACTCCCCTTGGGGCGCTGAGTCATTCTTCCTTTCGTCTGGTACCGTCCAATAAGCATACTCGACCACGTGTTCTCGCCCGTCCTTTTCTCTCTCTCTCTCTCTCTCTCTCTCTCTCTCTCTCTCTCTCTCTCTCTCTCTCTCTCTCTCTCTCTCTCTCTCTCTCTCTCTCTCTCTCTCTCTCTCTCTCTCTCTCTCTCTCTCTCTCTCTCTCTCTCTCTCTCTCTCTCTCTCTCTCTCTCTGTGTGTGTGTGTGTGTGTGTGCACCTTTTGGGTGCGGGCAGTCCGCCGCCCCGCACCTCCAAACCATACAGAGTCGTCACCCCGCTTGGCCCGAGCATGCAAGCCAGGCTCACTCGCGCACCACAATCCTTCGTGGCCACGCGTCAGCCCCGCATACCCAGCACCAGCTCGTCGGGTCGGCCAACTCTCTACTCACCGTCTTTCTGCTCATTAGCCGATCCTCTCGACCACGCTAACTCCCAAGTAGATTAAAGAGCCAATTAATCGCACTTGCAGAATTTACAGCTTATACATCCGCGTGCAATAACCGGGATTGCCAGAGAGGAATAGTAGGAGAAAGGAAGGAGGAAGTGCCTACGACTGCATGGCTGGGCCGCGGCGTGGGGGACGTAGCCTCACTCCACGCTTCGATCCTGTCATGCACCGATCTTGCCAATGAGATAGAGAAGGGAGAGCGTACGTAACAACGCGGGAAAGAATATCAAGAAAGGGGAGATTACACTTACATCTGCGTAGGCAAAGAAAGAGCAAGAAGAGATTCAAGTTACAGTTAAGATTGGAATTAAGGCGTGGCGGGAATAGAGCGCAGGCCCAGGCGCAACAAAGCGCGCATAAGTAGGACACGATGTGCAGTTACGGGCAGAAATTACGAGGCAAAAAAAAATTCCGAGATCCAACGTGTGCTCATCCCAATTCAATAGTTCCGAAGGAATTCCCCGCGCAATCGCCGCGTCAAAAGGACGGACTTCTGTCGAAAACGAAAGAAAAGAAAGAAAAAGGACATAGCAGACATTGTTCCCCTACGCTCACTAAGGCGTGGGCCAACTTCCCCGAAGTTCCTAACCACCGCCTCTCTTCTGTCGAACGACCAAGAAGAAAACCAAGAACGAGGGACTGCCATGCAATTTATCCCCGACCCTCTCTATGTACCCCCAATCCCGGTTGCGCAGAAGATGACGCTTATCGGAAAAGAGCTCGTCACATCGCAGCCCAAACCCAACATACAACAACCATGGACTTACCCCTGGGTGGTGCGCAAGAAGTGTCTGTAATAGTTTGGCAAATGAACAATCATCCTCAAGTATGCAAGCCCGCAAAGAACCACTAGAACCAAGAGCATCAGGCAAACATCCCACAACCCAAACCCAACATACAACAACCATGGACTTACCCCTGGGTAGTGCGCAAGCAGTGTCTGTAATAGCTTACCTGCGTCCGCCCAGGGGAGTGTGTCCATTAGTGCGTCATTCTAACGCCCTGCCGGTGTCCATGCGCAAGGCTGCGAAGTTTTGAACCCACAACCTCATACCACAATGCGCATTTCCAACCGGTGCTCTAACCACTGAGCTACATCAACTGGACACGGGCACAACTCTAGGAAGTACTGGTGGCTTAAGCTGACCGGCCCCAGACAATTCAGAAGTAGTTGGTTTTACAACTTAACTCGTCAAGTTCGATCATCTGGATTTGAACACGGGTCTGTATTTTCAACAGTTCATGGGTGTACCCACTGAGCTATGGACTTTTGGGCTAATTCAAATACTTGACAAATCTGGACTTTTGGGCTAATTCAAATACTTGACAAATCTGGACGTCCTTTCAGGCCTTTTTCATTGTCATTATAGTATTATGGGGAACCTCGTCCTCGTCGCAGCCACATTTATGCTCAAGCCTCCAACGAGGGAACATGCGGGGCGCTGCACCCACCAGCAGGTGCGATACCTGCTACAGCAGGTGGGCGATACCGGCCAGGGGTCAGCCAGTAGCATCAGGACCGAGATTCTTCGATGGGCTGTGCCTCCCCTCCAGTCCCCTCCCCTTATGAATTGACTTACCGTGAGGGCACAGGTGCGCAGCCCGTAGTTCGTTTGTTTATGTGGTTCGAGAAGAGTAAGGTAGTGATTATGCTGTATGTATGTTTTGTCATGTTCGCTATACACAACTCGAAAAGTGTGTGTGTGTGGGTTCCCGGTTGGTGCTTTATTCACGATGTTCATGGGACGCTGGACCTAGTTTCCAGCAGGTGGCGCTTCCCATCAATAGACAGGAGAATGTATATGCATGTGTATGTGAGTGTGTGTGTGTGTGTATGTATGTGTGTGTG